GTTTGAAAGCAAAAGGGAGTAAGGAGATGGATCTTAGGTTGCCAAGATTGGTGGGGTCCATTGAGGCTTTTTTAAGTATGGGGGTGACTAGCACATGTTTTAGAGAGTTGGGGAAGATGCCAGTAGAAAGGGAGAGATTGAAGATATGAGTTAAAGAATGAAGGACAGAACCAGAAGGTGACTGTAGTATTTGCGAGGGAACAGGGGGCAGGTGGTTAGGTGGGCTTTAGAAAACGGTTTACTAACCTTCTCTATAGTAGCTGGGTTAAACAAGGAAAATATAGATTGTGCAGGTGGACAAGGAGTGTAGGGTGAGGGAGACTGATGTGAATGTATAATATATATGTAAGGCGCTGTGTAAATTGACAGCGCTTTATAAGTACCGGTAATAATAATAATAAAATAAATTAAAAGTTGTATATTTCATGAAAAAAACAAGCATATGCAGATGAATCAAAGCGTTATTTTCAAGTTAACTGATGCTTGCTGACGTTGCTAAATTTGGCCGGAGCATCTAGGCACCCGTGACCTCTGGTTCTGAAAGGGTTCAAGATTTTATATAACTCGTACAAACAAAGATGTAAAACATCAGTTTAGAAAGGTATTTTAAAAATTTTATAAAATTGACCCAGAACCATTATAAGGAAAAAGGAAAGGAAAAGAGAAAAAAGAAATACAAAGGAAAGACACAGCTGCCCTGTAGATTTATCTATACTTCTGTAAGAACTTTGCCTTAGAATATTACTCTGCTCTAATTATGTATTTCCTAAGTGCAGTTGGGTACAGGAGAGAAGAAAAAGCGTCCATTGTGTGTGTTGGTGTTAGGGCTGGAAGATTGTCCTTTTTTTTCAAAGCGTCATTTTCTACAACTAATACGCCTTCTGCCGCCAATCATGGAATTTTCATTCCTGTTTCAATACTCCAATATTAGACATATTTTTATATTATGTATAACTCCTTGGCCCATTTAGCTAATGTATCCATCATCAATATCACTCAATGTACCATCTCATCTTTTCAGAAATGGAACTAGACAAATCTATGTCATCTTGGCTTCACTGACTATACTTGGCAACCTCCATTTGCTTTGTAAAGCAATGTATTGTGTTTTGTCCATTTCAGGAGACTCTGTCATTTCAAAATCTATGTACAGTTCTCATTCTGTACAAAGCCATCAAGACTAGAAATGAATGTGGAGTCCTCTATCTGCGATGACAGAGGGCTTATTATATATTATTGTAACAGGTTTTTGTACTGCTCAGTGCTTACTGGAAAATTAATAATGATTGTGATTGTGTTTTTAACCTCCACCATGGTGGACAGAACTCTTGATTTTGCTATGTTTCCTTTAACCACTTGCCCTCCAGAGGATTAACCCCCCCCCCCCCCCCCCCCCCCCCCCCCCCCCCCCGACCAGGCCATTTTTTTCAATACGGCGCTGCGTTACTTTAACTGACAATTGCACAGTCATACAACACTGCACCCAAATATGTCCTTTTTTGCCTCCAAATAGAGCTTTCTTTTGGTGGTATTTGATCACCTCTGCATTTTTTATTTTTTGCTCTATAAACAAAAAAAGCCCGATAATTTTGAAAATAAAAACAATATTTTTAACTTTTTGCTATAAAACATGTCCAGTAAAAAAAAATTTAAAAATCTAATTTCTTCATAAATTCAGGCCAAAATGTATTCTGCTGCATGTCTTTGCTAAAAAAAAAAATCCCAATATGTGTAAATTAATTGGTTTACGTGAAAGTTATAGTGTCTACAAATGGCGGTATAGATTCTGAAATTTTTTTTTATACTAGTAATGGCGGCGATCAGCGACCTATAGCGGGACTGCAGCAGGCATTCTGACACTGGGTGGGAACTGACTAACTGCCCCTGACATTTTTATTATTATTATAAAGGATTTAAATAGCGCCAACAGTTTGTGCAGCGCTTTACAAAATTTCATCCCAATGACACTAATACAGTGATCGCTGCTAATAAAAAACACTGAAACTGTACTAATGACACTGGGCAGGAAGGGGTTTAATATCTGGGGCGATCAAAGGGTTAACTGTGTGCTGTTTTACTGTGTGTGCTGTGTGTGTTTTACTAGGGAAACATGCTGTATGTTACTGCTGGCAGGAGAGAGACCTGTGTTGTTGAAAGTGAAAATAACTCACATAACAATAAAATAAGCGGCCTTCCTGGTGGCCATGTGCAGGTAGGCGTCAAGCTGGAGGGTTCCACTGACGCGTTTCGTGTTATGTGAGTTATTTTCGCTTTCACTTTGGATCTGTTTATACTATCTAATAAAAACTGTACTACACTATTAGCACCATTCTCTGTCCTGGATTGCTTATTTGCGAGCCTCACAAGGTGGAGCCCTTTGGGAGTGTGGAGCCAGCTGTATGACGGACCGAGGAGCAGAGTGTGACCCCGAGTGCGTGATTCCATCCCGAGTGTCTACGGTCGAGCCTGATGACATCATAGCCGCTGACAAGACCCAGATGCCTTCACTATTAGGATTATACATATAATGCCCATATTATATGTATTTCTGGTAAGTGTATCACCTTATCAGATCCTGGCACTGTTGTTACGAGTCACAGAGCACCTGCTACAGTCTTTGGACATAATATTTATTGAACTCCTATAACATCACCGTGGGACTATTACCGCATTGTTATATATATATATATAGATATAATATCGACATATCTATCCTTTTTACATTATACTACTTTTAGCGCTGCATATCTATTTATTTGCATATTTATATATATATATATGTGTGTGTGGGGTGTGATTTTGTGCAGCCCTGCCACCCTGTGGCAGTAGTTCTGCGGTTACAGAGTCAGCCCGTATTGATATTTCAGATTTTGGTAAATTCTTGCAATGATCAGTCATGAGCTTTCGCCATCTGCTGGTCATTACGCAGCACTGCAGTTTAGGTCTCTGCAGTACACACCTGCCATAATTAAGGAAGTTTAAGAAGACTGCTGGCATTATGTGCTTGTACTCGGCTCCTCTGCACTTATCCTGATAATTACATGTTATCTATGCTATTGTCATTCATTACTCTTTTTTTGTCTTTCATTTTCTTTGACCATCTGCCTGAAAACTTTAGCTGGCTCAAGGTGAAACTTAAGCTGGCCAAAGATGGAATTTAGGTGCCATACACACTGGACATTTTTACAGCGGCTGTTTTGGGCATGAAGCGTTTTTTTCTACAGCCAGTAAACTCCCCAGCATGTTATCCTATGTGTCTGTGCACATATAGGCTTTTATCAGTGTTTTTGGCAGGGGCGTTTTCAGGCTGGAAAAAACCCCGCAAAATCTCTTTATCTGAAGACCTCTAGTACAGAAAAATGCTGCAAAACATAGCTATCCAGTGTTTATGAGCATTTTTGAGCCTCAAACTTTTGTAGGAGTATAGTTTTTTTAAAAACCACAAACACTGAAAATGTTAATAAACGCTAATGCAAAAACGCTAAAAAAAGCAACAAAACTCATTTTCCGCTGTCGGCTTTTTTATAACGTTCAGTGTGCATGAGGCCTTAAACAGGCCAAACGTGGATTTTTTGTTTTTCTTGGTTCATCCACAGGTCTGAACCAAAAAAAAAAAAATATTGGATTGCTGCATCACACAAATTACATAGATGGTGCAGGGGCGGACTGACAACTCATGGGGGCCCCCAGGCAATAGGGGATCATGGGGCCCCTGTGCCCTTGCCCAAACTCAAAAAAGCCTATGAAAAAGGTACCAGGGGCATCTCATGGGGTCCCCTACTGACCCGGACCCTTGGGCAGTGCCCTAGTTTCCAAATGGTCAGTCCGCCCCTGAGATGGAGGAATCTCACTGAGACATGTATTCTGACAACAAAGACTATCCTCTGTGAGAATACACTGATCAGCGACTGCAGCACATTAGCTGCATCCACTGATTGAGACAAATTTTCCAACATCCTTGCTCAATTATTAGATCAACTTCTGTTGCATGGAAGCAGCCACAAATGGATTGCAATTGTGATCTATCTATGACCAACGTGCTCTAGCATCTATCCTACCTTTTAGTTAGTGGTTATCCCTGGTGACACAGTGGGGGTTATTTACTAAAACTGGAGAGTGTAAAATCTGGTGCAGCTCTGCCTAGAAACAAACCAGCTTTTTTTTCTTCTGTCAAAGCTTAATTGAATGCTAATTGAAAATACCTGCCCCCACTATAGTCCCTGAAATCCAAGAAATGGAAAACCTGACTATGACCCTGAAAGAACAGAAGGACAAATATTGGAATATTTGGACCCCCTATTTCTTTTGTAGGGACCAAACTTCCCTTGCCTCTCTCTTAATCTGCCCTTCTGTTCTCTAGTACACCAAGTAATCAGGATATGAGACTTCAATCTTAACCTGTCCTATGGTTCTCTGGTGCACCAGGTAATCAGGATATGGGAATCTGAGGTTGGAATCATATGAGAGGGAGACAGTTCCTTTACTTTGCCCCTCTCTTCATCTCCCAGCCCTTTATCTGCCCTCCTTTTCTCACTCCTTTCCCTACAATTCATCTGCCCCCCCCCCCTTTTCCTCCCCTCTTCTCTACTCCCTCCTCCCCCCTTTTTTTTACCCTACTCCTTATCCTGTCCCTATTGTATATTCCCGCACACTATTTTTTTTCTGTGTTTTATGTGCTATTGCTTATGTCTTGACTCTTGACAAGCAAACAAAATATGCTGGAATTCAACGCTTTTTGCTAATTTCTGACAGCTCTTTGCTGGGTCATACAGCTATCACATTTTATTGAGACATATGTTGTTTTTCTTTCTTATTTGCCAATTTATATGCTGTCTATGTTTTGTTATGCTGGATGTATCTTACTTAAAACTGGCCGGTTCCCACTCTGGACAATGTTACTTTATACTGTAATATGTGCTGGCTGTTTGGTGTTGTTTTGACAAATTCCATGAATAAAAATAAAGAATAAAAAAAAAAAAGCTTAAAGTGTTACTAAAACCCCAGACCCTGCATTCACTATATCTGGGCTCCCCGGACCCTGCATTCACTATATCCAGTCTCCCCGGACCCTGCATTCACTATATCCGGTCTTCCAGGACCTTGCATTCACTATATCTGGTCTCCCCGGACCCTGCATTCACTATATCTGGTCTCCCCGGACCCTGCATTCACTATATCTAGGCTCCCCGGACCCTGCATTCACTATATCCGGTCTCCCAGGGCACTGCGTTCACTATATCCGGTCTCCCAGGGCCCTGCATTCACTATATCTGGTCTCCCGGGACCCTGCATTCACTATATCTGGTCTCCCAGGACCCTGCATTCACTATATCTGGTCTCCCAGGACCCTGCATTCACTATATCTGGTCTCCCAGGACCCTGCATTCATTATATCTGGTCTCCCAGGACCCTGCATTCACTATATCTGGTCTCCCAGGACCCTGCATTCACTATATCTGGTCTCCCACAGTACACAGAACATGGAGCTGCAATTATTTAAGTAAATATAAACTGATAAATACCTTTTCTCATCAGCAGTTAGAGCAGTCTTGTGACTTCTATCAGTGTCCGGCCGAGCACTGATTAAAGCTTGCAGGAGGAGTTTTTATTTTGCTCTAAGAGGATGCAGAACCCCTGACCTCTGTCTGGACAGTGCTAATTTGCCCTATGCTGATCACATACACTCTCCCAAGAAAAAAAAAAAACCTCTCTAGCAATACACATCAAACTGAGCATGTGCAGAGTGACTCCATACAATATGTCTTATCAGAAGATAAGAGGGGGACACTGAAAGAAGGAGGATCAGAGAAGAAAGGATCAAACAGCGTTTTTACACAATGCAAAGGATTAACCCGCAGTGAGTATAACAAGCGGAGGAGTGGAGAGGACGGTTTGGGTGATATTTAGATACAAGATCAGTGATGTAATTGGGGACAGAGTTATAAATGGCTTTATATGTTATTGTTAATGTTTTGAATTTTATCCGTTGGGCAATGGGAGCCAGTGGAGGGATTGGCAGAGAGGGGTGGCAGATGTGGAATGGTCAGTAAGGTGAATGAGTCTGCAAGCAGCATTCATGATAGACTGAAGAGGGGATAGCCTGCGATGAGGTCGGCCAATGAGGAGGGAGTTACAATAGTCAAGGCGAGATATAACAACGGAGTGAATAAGTTGCTTAGTGGTTTCCGAGGTTAAGAACGGGCGTATCTTGGAGATGTTGTGGAGGTGAAGACTACAAGATTTGGACAGCAATTGGATTTGGGGCTGAAAGGACAGATGGGAGTCCAGGATTACACCTAGCACCCTGGCATGAGGGGAGGGACTGATGGTTGTATTATTGATTTTGATGGAGAAGTCAGGGGAGGGGCACGAGCTGGAGGGCTCAAAGATTGAGTTAGAGGAAGTGGAGTGATATCCATGCTGATAGGTCTTAGTAGAATCACATGAAATATGCCGCACCGCACAAGTGTGAACCCAGACTTAGAGTCAGCAGGGGACAGATGCATCGGACTGATGCTACGTCCACCTAGGAAAGTATAACTGGGAAAAAAAAACAGATCCCAAAAATGTATTGTAACGTAAGTCCTGTATAATAATAATAATGTAATCATGTGTGGGAAAAAATATCACCAGCAGCAAAAGGATAAAATATTGACTTTTGCTAACAAAGTTGCCAAGGACAGCGGAGGGGTGAGATAGTGGCTACAGATGCAGTAGGACCAACAAGGAGTTGTAAGAAGCTGAATAGAGTTGGGTTAGTGTTCTGTATTCTCTGCAAAAGTAGACCTTAAGGCTAGATTCACACCTATGCAGTTTGCGGTTGATCCGTTTCTGCAGTGCTTCTTAGCGGTGCGTTTTGCTTTTTTTATGTGTTTTTGACAGACAGAATAAAATGCAAAACACATAATAAATGCATCAAAAAAACACATAAAAAAAGCATCAAAATCGCACTACATGCCTTTCTGCAACTTTTCCATTAAAGTCTATAGAACCAAAAATGCAGCGTTTTGTGTTTAAAAAAGTCCCTGACCCTTTCCAAAAAACACACACCGGGTGAAAACGCAGAGATGTTAACCTGTCCCATAGGAAATCATGTTAAATGGACTGCTGTGCATTTCTGCAAAACACAAAATGCAGCAGAAGACGCATAGGTGTGAACCTAGACTGAGCCTTAGTTCACACTTTTGCGGTATGGCATATCGCATGTGATTCGCACAGGAACCGCACCACATTCCTGAGCAAATCACCTGCGAATTCTATGCAGTGCGATTTGAGCCATACATTTTTTTTTTGTCCACACTAGAATCGGATCGCATGGTTATTCCCACCCATGCGATCCGATTCTGCACATCGCACCTCGTTTTGCAAACCGATTTCAGGGTGTCATTAACTTAACATACACACCCACAGTGGTTTGTATGAATGGGGTGTGATTATGATGCGGTGTGGAATTCACACAGAAACCTGTGCGAATGTCGCACAGCATCCCTGTGAACTCAGGATAAGTGTTCTATTTATGAAAAAAAATTCTGTACAAATTTGATAAACGGTCACACAGCCATGATTAAACATTGCCATATTTTTTGTAATATAATAGTTTCCTAAGATCATCATCAAATACCTCAATCAGGAAAAATACAGCATTATGACCACTAGATGATGATGAAGATCATAGGAAATAATCACCATGAAATAAATAAATAAAATAATAAAATACAATAATAAAATAAAATAAAAATAAAATACAATAATAAAATAAATAAAATAAAAACCATGATGTTTCATTGCAGCTGTGTACATGTTTGTCACATTCATGAAGCAAAGTTTTTATAACTAGACCCTCATAGTGTATCTAAACAAAAAAAAAAAAACATCTCTAAATCACATTGGTTAACTGGACAGGGCTCATAATACGGCTTTGTATTTTAGTGCAGTAGAAGCACTGTGTTATCAGTTTATTCAATTTTTTTTTTTTTTGCATTTTAAAACAGATAAAACAAAATGCTTTTAATTTGAATATATGAAAGACCAAAGGAAGCAAATAAAAGAAATTCTTTGCATATTACAACAGTGAATATAAATAAATAATAAATACAAGCTACGTGACAACTTTTTTTTTTCCTAATGTGCCGTTCTTTATGACCCACTATTGTATTGTGTAGACATTTCATCAACCAATAAAGGGTATATTAAGTAGGCATGAAACATTTTTACACAATAAAAAAGAAACATAATTACAAGAATGTAATACATTTAGCGCCAGACTTAATCATGGCTGTGCATTCCAGAAGAGAACATAATTATTATTGTGTTTTCATTAATCCTCTCCTACGGGGAGAAACAAATGGAAGCTGATGGAGGGCATGAATATTCATGTATTATCTATTGGGGATCAGGGCTGGGAAATACGTTGTGATATGGAGGCTGCGCTGTCTGTGTCATCTCTACCTTTGGAACAATGGCATGTGTAAATGGAGAAGTAAAGCCACAACTGAGTACAATAAAAAAAATTATAATAATAATTAATACGATGTCGAGTTGAAGGGTTTATGTTTGCATGTAAAAGAATTCAATAACGTCTCTGCAAGTTATTATTTAAATCCTATACAGCTTAGTGAATATGGCAATTATAAGAAAACAGATTAGGTGTTTGCAAGGTGGCAGATTTAAAGTGTATGTCATCTCTAAGGTCTCATACACACAGGATATGAAAGCCGTTGCTTTTGCAGGCATTTCACTTTTTTCAGCCTCTAAATTCACCTTTATGTTAGTTTATGTGGCCATGCACACATACAGTGCCTTGAAAAAGTATTCATACCCCTTGAAATTTTCCACATTTTGTCATGTTACAACCAAAAACATAAATGTATTTTATTGGGATTTTATGTGATAGGCCAACACAAAAGTGGCACATAATTGTGAAGTGGAAGGAAAATGATAAATGGTCTTCAAAATTTTTTACAAATAAATATCTGAAAAGTGTGGCGTGCATTTGTATTCAGCCTTTTGCTGCAATTACAGCTGCAAGTCTTCCTGGGGATTTCTACCAGCTTTGCACATCTAGAGAGGGACATTTCTGCCCAGTTTTCTTTGCAAAATAGCTCAAGCTCTGTCAGATTGGATGCAGAGCGTCTGTGAATAGCAATTTTCAAGTCTTGCCACAGATTCTCAATTGGATTTAGGTCTGGACTTTTACTGGGCCATTCTAACACATGAATATGCTTTGATCTAAACCATTCCATTGTAGCTCTGGCTGTGTGTTTCGGGTCGTGGTCCTGCTGGAAGGTGAACCTCCGCCCCAGTCTCATGTCTTTTGCAGACTCTAACAGGTTTTTTTCTAAGGCTGCCCCGTATTTGGCTCCATCCATCTTCCCATCAACTTTGGCCAGCTTCCCTGTCCCTGTTGAAGAAAGCATCCCCACAACATGATGCCGCCACCACCATGTTTCACAGTAGGGATGGTGTGTTCAGGGTAATGTGCAGTGTTAGTTTTCCACCACACCTAGAGTTTTGCTTTTAGGCCAAAAAGTTCAATTGTGGTCTCATCTGACCAGAGCCCCTTCTTCCACATGTTTGCTGTACCCCCCTCATGGCTTATTGCAAACTGCAAATGGGATTTCTTATGGCTTTTTTTTCAACAATAGCTTTCTTCTTGCCACTCTTCCATAAAGGCCAGATTTGTGGAGTACACGACTAATAGTTGTCCTGTGGACAGATTCCCCCACCTGAGCTGTGGATCTCTGCAGCTCCTCCAGAGTTAATATGGGCCTCCTGGTTGCTTCTCTGAATAATGCTCTTCTTGCCTGTTTTCTGTCAGTTTAAAAGGACAGCCATGTCTTGACAGGTTTGCCATACTCTTTCCAATTTCGGATGATGAATTGAACAGTGTTCTGTGAGAGGTTCAAAGCTTGGGATTTTTTTTATAACCTAAGCCTGTTTTACATTTCTCCACAACTTTATCCTTGACCTGTCTGGTGTGTTCCTTGGCATTCATGATGCTGTTTGTTCACTAATATTCTCTAACAAACTTCTGAGGGCTTCACAGAACATCTGTATTTATACTGAGATTAAATTACACACAGGTGGACTCTATTTACTAATTAGGAAACTTCTGAAGACAAATGGTTCTACAAGCTTTTAGTTAGGGGTATCAGAGTTAAGGGGGCTGAATACAAATGCACACCACACTTAAAAACACAAAAAAAAATTTGAAAACCATTTATCATTTTCCTTCCACTTCACAATTATGTGCCACTTTGTGTTGGTCTATCACAGATAATCCCAATAAAATACACTTACATTTTTGGTTGTAACATGACAAAATGTGGAAAATTTCAAGGGGTATGAATACTTTTTCAAGGCACTGTAGTCATTTAGTCCTCATGCACACTGGATGTTTATACAACTGCTGTTTTTGGCTTTTGGTGTTTTTTACTATAGCCAGTAAACTCCCCAGCATTGTGTCCTAG